CTGCTATTTTATATAGTTAGACAAATTATCTTTTTTTAAGTATATTCTTTCGCTTCATTTTTCTTATTTTAATCAAAGATTTCAGTTTTTGAAACATGATTATTTTATTATAAGATACCAAAAAAATTAATAAAACACCAAACTCTTTAAAATTTGGAACCTTTTCAATTTTCCAAACACTAAAAATGATTAAATTTAAACTTCTTCAAATCATTTGAAACATTTTCTTACACTTTGATAAAAATAATAACGAAAAAAAAAACTAATTAAGATTTATTAGTTTTTTTTTTTTTTTTTTTTTTTTGTGTGTGATTTCAAAGCCTAAGTGTTCAGGGAAGTTTAAGTATAGTGTGTGTGTGTGTGTGCCTGGTTATATATTGTTAAAATACACCGAATTATATTTGAATTTTAAGTGTTTGAACTTCAGTTTAAATCAAAGACAACATGAATGAAGATTTTCACACATTTTTTTATAACTTGAATGTTTGAATAAATGGTAATCAAAAATATACGGAAACATTTACAGTAGACATTTATGCATATAAATAAACATAAAAATCAATTTTAAATTCGAGCTATTGAAAAACATTCGAATTATATATTGTTCAAAAATATCTATTTATACAAAATACCTCAACATTTATCTTTTTTAAAGGCTAACTGAATAAGTAGTTAAAATCTGGATATTTTTTGAAATCTCGACCTTATAAAGCTAGAAATTTTATGTTAGAAATTCCATTTGAAATTTCGAAAAAAAAATGCATCGCGCAGTTAAAAATTATTTACCATAAGTTTTAGCAATTGTTTGAGTATAATAAAAATTTCAAATTTTATTATATAGCTTCTTTGGTATCTTTTAATATATTTCGGCCGCGGTAGCCGAGTGGTATAGGTATCGGAACGTGGCTTGCTTTGTCACGAGTTCGAGCCCAGTACCACTAAAGACCCGCCGTGTAGGGCAGCGATGCACGATAAATCTGTCGAGAGCTGAAACGTCCTCCCGTTGGTGTGGTTTGGTACTTAGGAGAGGGGGTGCCAGCTCAGGTGTCGTCCACGTCACTTGACCATGGTTCAAAATTACGTGGTCCGTCGCCAAAAGCCCTCGTGTAGAGCTGAACAGTGCGACGTTAATATTCAATCATTCATTTAATATATTTCGAAGATTTCATACAATTCAGTTGAAAACCGCATGCTAAGAGCAAAAAATATACTAAAAAAATTGATGAATATACATTTACAATAAATTCTTACATAGAAGCAAAACTGAGAAGCTAAAGCGTAGGAATGAAAAATTTTGAGTATATCTGAAGTAGTTTTCGAAATATTTATTTTAAAGTTCAGAAAATTTGTCTGCGTTATGTGTTATACTTAATATTAATTAAATGGTTAAAATAATATGTTAATATTAGTCATGTAATCGTTTGATGACACATTCATATACCAATAAAAATTATCATGGTCATTAATGCGAATGTCAAGAATTTTATGTAATTTTAAATTCAGACATTAAGATATTGATGTAGAAAATATAAAAAGACCATCTAAAATACATGAAAAATGCAATCTGCTATAAAATGATCTTGACAAACAAAATCCGGCATTTTTCACTTACTATGGCAGAGCCGGCTTAGTCAGGGGGGATCCGGAAAAACAGAGAGAGAACCGCGGTTTTGATGGATGCCGCTCTAGCTTTTAAAGTTCCCAGGAAAAATTATATATATATAAATTACAAATGCAAAAATAAATCTTGTAATTTTCCATACCTTTTTATAACAACGAATTGTGGAATTGGCTTCCAATGCATTGTTGTGTTTGACAATATGTAAGGTAACCAACCCTACTTTAGATAGATTTATACTACTTTTTCGTAACCGTATTCCTTTTAAAATTAATTCGTGCAGCCGAAATATACCTTTTGCACCCTTAAAAATTTATGTAAACTATAACGGTTAATTTTAATTTATGCAACTTGTGAAATGTTCATAACTAACCATTTCCGTCTAAATAGTTTACATGAAAAAAAAAAGTTTGGACTCCCTCATTCATTAGGGATTTATATAAGATTCTAACATTAAATTTTATTTTTCACCGAATAAGATCGAGTGGTAGTGTATCGTGCTTCCACACCTCAGGTCTGGGGTTCTTTCACGGCTGCGCAAGGTCGACTCTGCCTTTCATCGCCGCTACATTGGGTCGATAAATGAGTACCAAGCTTTCTTCGGGTCTTAATCACTGAAGGTCTCTGTTCAGACAGACCACCAAATCGGGACATCTGTTCATGCACCTCAGCGTCCAATGGTCACGTGTATTATGATGGGCACAGTAGTTCCTGGCCCTCATGGATTGTTGTGCCACTGAGTTTGAGTCTTAAGTTTAAGGATTACCTCACTTTGGGGATACCCTTTAGATAAACATGTATTTCCACTCATTTGCAATTAAACATTTTTCTTTCAAATACGTTTATTTCAGAAGGAAGTTTGATTTTTCAAATGTGTTTGCTTAATAACATGTATATTTGTGTATTATATTAAAAATTTAATCAATCCAAAATTACATATTTTTAGCTCCTCTAAAAGCTTTTAGGATTTTACAACTGATCTTACAATCCATATACGTTTTATAGTAGTATATTTAAAAATTATAAGGACATTTTTACGACTGTGTGAGCTGTTATGCCTCGTTTATAAATATAAAAAATTGCATTCAGCTACAGTTTTTAAAATGCACAGAATTAAGTGGAGAAACAGGATACTTACATATTATGAATATTTTTGACTGCAGTAAGATATATTTATATTTCAGTTTCTTTACAATTTGAATAGAAGTTGTAAGCCATTTTGCGAATAGTTTGATATTGAGTATGAACCCATAGGCTGTTTAATATTGTAAAGTGTTTTACTTTGATACCAGCGCACATTAAAATAAGGCTCATTTGCAGTTATATGATCAGCTTCAGTGACATTTAAATTTTCAAAAATAGTCTACACGTACGAAAACATTCTTTCACAACCCCACACCACATCTCATACTATATCTTCCCTACAGCAGGAAATATTTGTGTATACTGAAAAATTTAATACAGGATACATTTCCAAGTGTTAAATTTGTTTTTAAAATTTGGTATGAATACATTGTGGAACTGTCGGTTAACTTCACTGAACAAAATTGTATTTGAGTTATATTTGTAATTTTATGTGTTATATTTCCGAAAGCGATTCTTCAATCAAGGAATTATCAGCAAATTTTTCTCAGTATCATAAATTCTCTTAAATGCTCAAGTTTTTTATGTACCTGGATGGGACTTCATTTGATAATCTAAACTTGTCCATATTCGAGTGATTGGAAATTGAAAAATTTTAAACGCTACTTATTAATTTTCATTCTAGTTCATTATGGATTCAGAAATTAAGGGAATCAATAAAAACGTTGGAGTTGATTGAAACAGAAAGATTGACAAGAAATATGTCTAAGTAAAAATCCCAATAACGAATATTTCGAAACATGGAATTTGATTCGAAGCACGTTTAACTGATTCAGAAGCTGGCTCATACTATTCTAACCATATTTTGATCTACCTATGCCTTTGAGTGAGAAAAGATGATTTTTAGAGATGAATAATATTAAAGACTCACTTATAAATTGCGCTTTGGAAGGCATCTCAATTTGTGAGCATGTATTCTCTCTGCTACAAGTAACATCTTACAATCCTAATATAAGTACTCCTTTAATCTTCAGCATTAGGAATCACGATGAAGTTTCATTATAATTTTTATTCCACACATAACTAAAACATTGATACACTACTATAAAGTGCAAAATGTATTTTTCGTAGTAAATCGTTTTTACTTCTTAGTTTTTCATTTTCATATTTTCCCATTAAGCAGAAATCAAAATTATTTCATGGCATATCTTCACCTCATTAAACATTTCCTTCGAAAAAAAGACGCTTTGCTACATAAGGGTTCGACACCCCTGGTCTAGGGTAATTAGAAGCCCTTAAAATCTATTTTTAAATAATCGTTGAAACTGGGTTATTCCCCCTTAAATGGCGAATTATGTAACGAAGTACTTCGTATTTTCTCTTTAAAGTGGAAAGTCTGATATCAGCCAGAACTTACGTCTTTTATTGTAAAATGACCCTTTTATTTTTTAATTTCCTATCCGATAAGAAGTGTCATGTATATATTAAAATCAATTTATCTCCAAATGAAAATTTTGATGTTCGATGTACCTTTCCTGAAAAACTAATGTTCACGGGTTTGTAAATATTTTATAAAATATTTATAGCATCCGGGGGCTAATATATAAAGCAATGAACTTTTGTAAAAATCTCAACATTTTATTTTTTTACAAATTTTTATATGTGAAAACTGGTTCAAATAAGACTATGTTTGATAAAATACTTTATAAATCATGACATAATCAAAACTTTCTAAAAGCCCATTTCAGTATAATAAAAAAATACTTTAATTGTGTGAAAAATTTCAAACTTCTACATTTGAAATAATTCAGAAAAAGTACATGAAAAGCAGCCAATATTATGTTGTCGGCATAAAAAGACAGAGAGGGTTTCAACTCAACTTAAACAATTCTACTTTATTGGCAAAAGAATGAATACTTGTCATATTACCTAATTAGTAAACTCAAACAAAGTGTACCTGTACAGCAGTGGATAGCGCGTTGGACTTCTAATCCAAAGATTGGGGGTTCGAATCCCACCAGGGATAGACGTGTATCAGCAGATGTTAATTCTTTTAAACGTTTATAATTTATTAGCAAAATTATAAATAATTTTCACATTACATACTGAGTGAAGGCAATCTACAAATCCCTGTAGCGCCGAGGGAAGCGCGTTGGACTTCCATTCAAAAGTCGTGCTTTCGAATCTCATCTGGAATGGTCCTGTATCAGCGGATGTTATTAGTTTAAACATTTCTACTCCATTGGCAAACGTATAAATACTTGTCACAATATTTAATAAGTGATGTCAAACATTGCGTCCCTGTCGTGCAGTGGATAGCACTTTGTTTGGATTTCTAATCCAAAGGTCGTGGGTTCGAATCCCACGTGGTAGAGCGTTTGTTTTTTCTTTTAAACATTTCTACTCTATTAGCAAAAGTATACTTACTAGTCACATTACATCCTAAGTAAAGCTAACCCATAAGAACCTATAGCGCAGTGGATAACGCATTGGATTTCTAATCCAAAGGTCGTGGGTTCGAATTTCACCAGGGACGGGCGTATGTTATTTCTTTTAAAAATTTCTACTTTATCGGCAAAAGTATAAATAATTTTCACGTTACATGCTGAGTGAAGGCAAACCGAATGTCTCTGTAGCGCAGTGGATAGCGTGTTGGACTTCTAATCCAAAGGTCGTGGGTTCGAATTTAACCAGGGACGAGCGTATTTTATTTCTTTTAAAAATTTCTACTTTATTGGCAAAAGTATAAACAATTTTCACGTTACATGCTGAGTGAAGGCAAACCGTATGTCTCTGTAGCGCAGTGGATAGCGCGTTGCCTTCTAATCCAAAGGTCGTGGGTTCGAATCCCACGTTTCTACTCTATTAGCAATCTAATTTCATTACAAGTGAAGCAATCCGTATGTCCGCGTAGCGCAGTGGATAGCACGTTGCCTTCTAATCCAAAAGGTCGTGGGTTGAATCCCACCAGAGATGAAGGTATGTTATTTCTTTTAAACATTTCTTCGAAAAGTATAAATACTCATCCACGTGGTAGAGCGTATTTTTTTTTCTCGTGTATCAGTTTTATTACTTTTAAACATTTCTACTCTATTAAACATTTCTAATCCCATTAGCAATAGTATACTTACTTTTAAACATTTCTACTCTATTGGCAAAAGTATAAATACTTCTTCACATTACATCCTGAGTGAAGCTAATCCATAAGTCCGCGTAGCGCAAAGGTCGTGGACATTCTAAAAGCAAAAGATCGTGGTTTTGAATCCCACCAGAGATGAAGGTATGTTATTTCTTTTTTTTTAAAACATTTCTACTCTATTGGCAAAAGTATAAATACTCTTCACATTACATCCTGAATGAAGGTAATCCATATGTCCCTGTAGCGCCGTGGGTGCTTTCGAATCTCATCTGCGCAGCGGATGTTATTACTTTTAAACATTTCTACTCTATTAGCAAAATTATAAATACTTGACTTCCATATGTCCCTGTAGCGCAGTGGATAGCGCGTTGGACTTCTAATCCAAAGGTCGTGGGTTCGAATCCCACCAGGGATGTTGGTATGTTATTTCTTTTAAACATTTCTACTCTATTGGCAAAAGTATAAATACTCTTCACATTACATCCTGAATGAAGGTAATCCATATGTCCCTGTAGCGCCGTGGGAAGCGCGTTGGACTTCCATTCAAAAGTCGTGCTTTCGAATCTCATCTGGAATGGTTCTGTATCAGCGGATGTTATTACTTTTAAACATTTCTACTCTATTAGCAAAATTATAAATACTTCACATTAGCAAAATTATAAATACTTGCCACGATACATCCTGAGTGAATTAATCTATATGTCTAGCGCAGTGGATAGCGCGTTGGACTTCTAATCCAAAGGTCGTGGGTTCGAATCCCACCAGGGATGTTGGTATGTTATTTCTTTTAAACATTTCTACTCTATTGGCAAAAGTATAAATACTCTTCACATTACATCCTGAATGAAGGTAATCCATATGTCCCTGTAGCGCCGTGGGAAGCGCGTTGGACTTCCATTCAAAAAAACATCGTGCTTTCGAATCTCATCTGGAATGGTTCTGTATCAGCGGATGTTATTACTTTTAAACATTTCTACTCTATTAGCAAAATTATAAATACTTGCCACGATACATCCTGAGTGAGATTAATCTATATGTCCCTGTAGCGCAGTGGATAGCGCGTTGGACTTCTAATCCAAAGGTCGTGGGTTCGAATCCCACCAGGGATGTTGGTATGTTATTTCTTTTAAACATTTCTACTCTATTGGCAAAAGTATAAATACTCTTCACATTACATCCTGAATGAAGGTAATCCATATGTCCCTGTAGCGCCGTGGGAAGCGCGTTGGACTTCCATTCAAAAGTCGTGCTTTCGAATCTCATCTGGAATGGTTCTGTATCAGCGGATGTTATTACTTTTAAACATTTCTACTCTATTAGCAAAATTATAAATACTTGCCACGATACATCCTGAGTGAGATTAATCTATATGTCCCTGTAGCGCAGTGGATAGCGCGTTGGACTTCTAATCCAAAGGTCGTGGGTTCGAATCCCACCAGGGATGTTGGTATGTTATTTCTTTTAAACATTTCTACTCTATTGGCAAAAGTATAAATACTCTTCACATTACATCCTGAATGAAGGTAATCCATATGTCCCTGTAGCGCCGTGGGAAGCGCGTTGGACTTCCATTCAAAAGTCGTGCTTTCGAATCTCATCTGGAATGGTTCTGTATCAGCGGATGTTATTACTTTTAAACATTTCTACTCTATTAGCAAAATTATAAATACTTGCCACGATACATCCTGAGTGAGATTAATCTATAAGTCCCTGTAGCGCAGTGGATAGCGCGTTGGACTTCTAATCCAAAGGTCGTGGGTTCGAATCCCACCAGGGATGTTGGTGTGTTATTTCTTTTAAACATTTCTACTCTATTAGCAAACATATAAATACGTCTACATTACATCCTGATTGAAATTAATCCACAGGTCCCTGTAGCGCAGTGGATAGCGCGTTGGACTTCTACGCAAAAAGTGGTGGTTTCGAATCCCACTAGAGATGAGGGTATGTTATTTCTTTTAACCCTCTAACCGGATAGCACGGAAAATTCCGTCAGTGTAAAGATGCTTCGAAAATGAACTGCACGGATTTTTCTGCCTTCAAGTAACGTTTTCAAAAGCGGATTAGCCGCACTTTTCTGAAATCCTTTCCCCTTTTTAAGGTTTAACAACTTGAAAGATAATGAGGGACGGAGGAAGCAACACAGCAGAAGTTTTATGGCTCGCAGGGAACCCCATGTTTTGACCTTTCGGCAATCGTAAAAAATCGAGGGGAAATTTCTTTAGACCCCAGGAAGTGTTAATTTGTTACCTCGTTTTTTTAAAGTTTTGTAAAGTCCCAACGCATAAGTAAAATATGTTACAATTCCCTTTTGATTTCATATTAATTTGAAACTGTAACAAGTTGGGGCGTGTCAGTGCAATCTGCTATTTTATATAGTTAGACAAATTATCTTTTTTTAAGTATATTCTTTCGCTTCATTTTTCTTATTTTAATCAAAGATTTCAGTTTTTGAAACATGATTATTTTATTATAAGATACCAAAAAAATTAATAAAACACCAAACTCTTTAAAATTTGGAACCTTTTCAATTTTCCAAACACTAAAAATGATTAAATTTAAACTTCTTCAAATCATTTGAAACATTTTCTTACACTTTGATAAAAATAATAACGAAAAAAAAAAACTAATTAAGATTTATTAGTTTTTTTTTTTTTTTTTTTAGATTTCAAAGCCTAAGTGTTCAGGGAAGTTTAAGTATAGTGTGTGTGTGTGTGTGTGTGTGTGTGCCTGGTTATATATTGTTAAAATACACCGAATTATATTTGAATTTTAAGTGTTTGAACTTCAGTTTAAATCAAAGACAACATGAATGAAGATTTTCACACATTTTTTTTATAACTTGAATGTTTGAATAAATGGTAATCAAAAATATACGGAAACATTTACAGTAGACATTTATGCATATAAATAAACATAAAAATCAATTTTAAATTCGAGCTATTGAAAAACATTCGAATTATATATTGTTCAAAAATATCTATTTATACAAAATACCTCAACATTTATCTTTTTTAAAGGCTAACTGAATAAGTAGTTAAAATCTGGATATTTTTTGAAATCTCGACCTTATAAAGCTAGAAATTTTATGTTAGAAATTCCATTTGAAATTTCGAAAAAAATGCATCGCGCAGTTAAAAATTATTTACCATAAGTTTTAGCAATTGTTTGAGTATAATAAAAATTTCAAATTTTATTATATAGCTTCTTTGGTATCTTTTAATATATTTCGGCCGCGGTAGCCGAGTGGTATAGGTATCGGAACGTGGCTTGCTTTGTCACGAGTTCGAGCCCAGTACCACTAAAGACCCGCCGTGTAGGGCAGCGATGCACGATAAATCTGTCGAGAGCTGAAACGTCCTCCCGTTGGTGTGGTTTGGTACTTAGGAGAGGGGGTGCCAGCTCAGGTGTCGTCCACGTCACTTGACCATGGTTCAAAATTACGTGGTCCGTCGCCAAAAGCCCTCGTGTAGAGCTGAACAGTGCGACGTTAATATTCAATCATTCATTTAATATATTTCGAAGATTTCATACAATTCAGTTGAAAACCGCATGCTAAGAGCAAAAAATATACTAAAAAAATTGATGAATATACATTTACAATAAATTCTTACATAGAAGCAAAACTGAGAAGCTAAAGCGTAGGAATGAAAAATTTTGAGTATATCTGAAGTAGTTTTCGAAATATTTATTTTAAAGTTCAGAAAATTTGTCTGCGTTATGTGTTATACTTAATATTAATTAAATGGTTAAAATAATATGTTAATATTAGTCATGTAATCGTTTGATGACACATTCATATACCAATAAAAATTATCATGGTCATTAATGCGAATGTCAAGAATTTTATGTAATTTTAAATTCAGACATTAAGATATTGATGTAGAAAATATAAAAAGACCATCTAAAATACATGAAAAATGCAATCTGCTATAAAATGATCTTGACAAACAAAATCCGGCATTTTTCACTTACTATGGCAGAGCCGGCTTAGTCAGGGGGGATCCGGAAAAACAGAGAGAGAACCGCGGTTTTGATGGATGCCGCTCTAGCTTTTAAAGTTCCCAGGAAAAATTATATATATATAAATTACAAATGCAAAAATAAATCTTGTAATTTTCCATACCTTTTTATAACAACGAATTGTGGAATTGGCTTCCAATGCATTGTTGTGTTTGACAATATGTAAGGTAACCAACCCTACTTTAGATAGATTTATACTACTTTTTCGTAACCGTATTCCTTTTAAAATTAATTCGTGCAGCCGAAATATACCTTTTGCACCCTAAAATTTATGTAAACTATAACGGTTAATTTTAATTTATGCAACTTGTGAAATGTTCATAACTAACCATTTCCGTCTAAATAGTTTACATGAAAAAAAAAAAAAAGTTTGGACTCCCTCATTCATTAGGGATTTATATAAGATTCTAACATTAAATTTTATTTTTCACCGAATAAGATCGAGTGGTAGTGTATCGTGCTTCCACACCTCAGGTCTGGGGTTCTCTTCACGGGCTGCGCAAGGTCGACTCTGCCTTTCATCGCCGCTACATTGGGTCGATAAATGAGTACCAAGCTTTCTTCGGGTCTTAATCACTGAAGGTCTCTGTTCAGACAGACCACCAAATCGGGACATCTGTTCATGCACCTCAGCGTCCAATGGTCACGTGTATTATGATGGGCACAGTAGTTCCTGGCCCTCATGGATTGTTGTGCC